AATAGGTGCTGATATCACGTTCAGTCATGCTTTATATTAATATTAATTTATAATTTAATTTTCTCAGTGTGATTAACACTCATCCACAAACAAACACAGGGGTCCATTATTCTAAATATTCTTGTGAAGTCACTAAATTTGCCCTCTTTTCTTCGCCCCAAAATATCACCCGGCAAAGGGCGATACAGTTTTAGGAGCGGTTGAAATGACCTTAGCTGTGAAATGACCTGAAATTGCTGAGTTAATGGCTTGTCTGATTGTTTTTCATTCCTCAGAGCAGCCTCTACATTGGAGGGGTCTTTTCGGATGATTTTTTTGTCACCCAAGGTATGAGAGGTCTGCTGGTGTTATAATAGAGGAAAGAAGAGTGTGAATGATTTTCAAAATGGCACAACAACCGCAAACGAGCGGAGAAGCATACCCAAAGGAGGGACGCTTATATTTGTATTTGCTCACTAACACAATATTTCTCAGTTGCTGTTTATTTCTATGCAGTCATATGTGTGACTGCCAATTAGTCTGTTTAGTGTCAGTTTAATGGAGGAGGCCTGTGAGCCTGTGATGTTGGGAAGTGAACCACCAGGAGCCTCTGGTGAGATCGTCGCTAACAAGCTGCTGGGCCCCATTACTGTCTGTATCCCTGTTGTGTTGCCAGCTGAGCTCCCGTCAACCTCCATCGCTTCCTAATGCACTCACTCACTCACTCCCTCGCTCTCTTTTTTTTCTGTAGGTATGATGTTGACTCCAAGAGCGCCAACCTGTCAAAACACGTGAGTACCAAAACTTGTTGCGATTGTGTTTTTGTGCATACATGGAGGCATGCATGTTCACATTTTTCTGTTTCTGTTTATTTTATTGTGTGAGAATGATTTCTGTTCTTATCATTACCTCCCATTAGCCTCATTTCAGTCACAGAATAGTAATCTAGCCATTACACTGAGTGTGTTAATCATGCACTGTAATAGCACATCCCTGGAACTGCCTGTAATTCATTTAGAAATTAAACAAACACAGATTTCATTGGTCCACCCAGCTTTTGCCATTGATAGCAGTGATTAGCATAACCGTAATTAGAACAAACAGTGTGACAACTTAAAAATAATAGCTGCCCTGTCTACTGCATCATGGTAATTGTAGTTCAAATGGGAAGATGCTGCTTGTACTCTTGTAATGTTCATCTTATTTTTAATCTCGGGAACAAGAGATATTACAGTCATCATTTTGATTTTAATTGTGAAACTAACAGGTCAAAGATGTCAGCTGTAGGCAGTCCTTATGTGGCTCTGCACAGGATGGATGTTGCAGGTCTCAACGGGGTCTAACGCTCAGTACTTTACACGTTACATCTCAATTTGTGCTGAACATATTCTTGGTAAAACTAGTTGACACCTGTAGTTCTTATGCTTTGGCCTTTGTGTTTATTAAACAAATTGCGATACAACATTTTAATTAATGAACTTTACTGATGCTTGTTAAAATATTGTCTCCCTCTGACACAGCCGAGCTAGCTTTTCACCAGTTTCTAGTCTTTAAGCTCAGCTAAATATGCTAACTGCTGGAGGTAGCTTTGCACTTGCAGGGAGATGAGTTGTTTGCGTCTTCTCTTACTCTTTGCAATACATTGAACAAGCATTATTTCTCAAATTGTCTTACATTTCCTTCAATAGGTGACACTGTATAATAGGAAAAATGACTCTTAGCTTTTACAACTTTGATATGTTCAGTTTGCTGCACTGTGTGTGTGTGTTTGACTGTAATCTTTTGTGCACACACGTTTTCATGAATTCAGCTTTAAATGATATCTGAAACATGTTTGAGCAGATGTTTGTTGTGTTCACTTCAAATGGGTTTCCTGGCTTATCATTGTCCAATTTGTGGAGGTGGTTATTAAATAGCTTCACAGGTCAATCAATATATATGCCCACAGCCCTACTAAATGTTCTTTAAAGTATATATTTCACTCTTTTTATTAAATGTTTATAATATTCATCCTAAATTAACAATGAGCTGCTGTTCATTCACCCCCCAGAAGTTTTTCATTCAGTGATTAAATTAATGATTATTGTAGCTAAAATGAAAGTTAAACAATTCTTTTTCTTTTGATGGGTATCTGGTTTGACCATGGACTGTAATAAAGGATGGAATATACGACTGCTCCCCAAAAGTTTTTGTCCTGCATATTCTCTAAATGTCATTTGATGTCTGGATGCTTTCTATTCCTCTTGCGCATCCCTTATCTGTTTTTCCTGTCTCATCCTCTCACTCTGGCATTCTGTCATCTTTTTTCTGTCATACCCTTTTTATTTCACATTCTTTCAATCTCCTTATTCCCCATTTCTCTATATCACCCTCCCTCCGTCTTCCCTTCCCCCTTGCCTCACTCCCCTGAAATCAATAATCTCATACAAGAAGAGACAGGCTTGTTGGCTCCGAGGCAGCGTACTATCTAATCCGCCTTCATGTAGGTCTCAGGAGGGAAAGCCGGAGACCCAATCCATTAGATGGTGTTTTAGCTTGGGAGCTGTAGGCTGCAGACACACCTGAGAACCGGGTGAGAACGAGTGTGGAATATTGAGGGAAAGGTGGGAGTGAGGTAAAACAGAGGTAAAATAAAATGCTCAGAAATGCATCAAAAATCACAGGAAATGTAATTTGAAATGGGTTGCCAATTTATATCGAGGTATTTTTTGAAATGCGTATCTGGTTACATGACTTTCTGCTTATTCTGAGCTTCCAAATGTGGCAACATGAAACCATCACCTGTAAAACCTCTGGATAAAACTTCTGGGTAAATCTGATTCTTAAGCTTCCATAAAGGGTTTGTAGGTTGTAACTGAATAGTATGTTTAAAGGGCTGTATATCCTGCACAATTCCTTCTGATGGAAACCTACTTAAATTTAACACATTAAAAGTTCTTTATGGATATGTAATGCAAGCAAATATTTACATATGGCACCTTTAATGTTGTATCAATTATTTTATTTTACATTGAATGTGCTAATACAGCACATGAAGAACCAAAAAAGTATAAATATCCATATTCTTCTAGACTTGTTTGTTAAATCCATATTTGCCCAAATTGTAATAATGGAAAAAAACAAGAAACAAGTATGTAAACCCACAACTTTCTGTTTGAAATCAAACAATCAAAATTACATCATGCAGCATAGCTCAAGTTTCAGGCATTACTCTACCACCCCAACAAAATGCATTCTCAGTCAGCTTATGGTGCATACCTCTCAAGTTAGCTCGTCCAACCTGTCCAACCTGGTGTCTCTATGTGAAAGACCATAAGCTGACATTGATAGAAAATGGAAACAGCCAAATACTGTAGGTGTGTGGCTAGCATTTCTTGGAAATTAGATTCTTCCAATATTATAGTTGATCTGATTCTGCATAAAATAAGTTATATGATAGCGGGTCCTGTTCTGACTCTTTGAGAAAATATATTAGTATTGACTTCCCACTATAATAAAGTGCTCTTATATTGCTTCAGGTTCTTCTCTGTCCTTCAGAGAATCCGCAAAGGTCATCAGTAGTTCCCAAAGCAAATTCCTGATCCTAAAAATGCCTAATTTGCACTCCTGCCTTTTTTCCGTAAAGCCTTTACGTCACCAAGTAACACTTAACATGTCCATCTATCGTTAGGCACAAATTGGTATGGCAGAATCGACCCAGTTGTTACTTTGCTTTTTAACTTGGAAAATTATGGACTTCTGTATCTTTTTCACAGTAACTCCTTTTCTAGCCCATGCTGTGATATATTTAGCCATTAGCTGCACACAGCCAATGTTCCGATGGACCTCATGCTGGCAACAGCCGCAGTTGCTAGGAGATGTGTGGGTTCGCTGCACAGCCCCTACATCAGAGACGGGGGCTAAATATCATCGCTTTAAAAACCCATTTTTAAGTGTGATTTCAGCAACCATTATGGCCAAAACAAGGCAAAGTAAAGTCATGTGACTGTGTGCACGCATCATTGTTGCGATAGTCGAGCTAGACAGACTGCCAAAAAGCTGGGGCGATGGATGGAGACAGAATAAGAGAAGAGGCTAATCGACAAAGCAAAGAAAATCCATTATGTTAGTGCTGCTTGGAGGTGCTCCAGTCAGACATTAGAGACATTGTCCAATAATGAAATATGTTTCCAACTGTGTGCCCCCTGGTGAAAGAGGGATGGAGATGTGGTGTTTCCATAATAGCTTCCATATATAAGTAATTTTTTTTCATATTTGCCTATTTTTGAAGGCTTGTATTTTTCACTTTGGAATTGATAATCATTCTTTTCTGCTGACAGATGACTTAGTAACTGTTCCCGGGCCAGAGGCACATAGATTTTGTGTACCATCTCTTGTCTCCATCCCTCTGCCTTTCTGTCAGAATCAGCAGTAAAGTTTTATTATGTGACTGCGGTGTAATTTACCAGGAAATTGGCATGGGAGCAGCGTGGGGCAGGTGAGTGGGCTGGTGGGAGTAAGGCTCAATCTACTTGCTGGTGATATCTGTCAATGGGGAATGCAGAGGTGTTTGAAAGGGTTTGGGCCTGCAGGGCTTTCTCTCAGTGGAGATCTGAGATGATTTTGTGGCTCTATGTGTGTGAGCGATTTTGTCAGTTTTGTTTTATTGATTTAATTTTTGCCTCACTTTACCCTCATTGACTCTGTAGGATTTCCTTGGCCAGGCCTACTGTACTCTTGGAGAGGTGGTTGGTTCGTTGGGCAGTCGCTTGGACAAAGCTCTGGGGTGAGTATGTGCACTCATTGCTGCCAATATATCTGCTATCAAACCAATTTTGATTGAAAACAGATAAAGTGACTAGCAGAGCAGTCGGGGATGTGTTTCCCTACAGAAAATAGAAACCAGACATTTCATTTAGGAGTCACTATGTTAGAGCTGAGAGCTGATTTGTGCAAGTTGTTTTACATCAGCATTTTTTTCACAAAGATTGTTCTTTGTATCTGACACAGCTCCATCATTTCCAAAAGCTCTCTGCCACCAGCTGGGAAAAAAAAATCGCTGAGGGAATTATGTTTCCCTTGGGAATGTCCCTTAAGCAGTCAGCGCTATCGGTATTGGTCTTGGTAGCTCTCTGCAGATACAGTTCTGTGATAATGGTTGAAAAGTGCAGTGAAGTGAGAAGCCAGTTTTCATAGTATTGTCTAGATGTGAGAGTGGTGTCAATTTTTTCCAGTGTATATTTTCAAATTATGTCTTTAAAGATATTCACAGAGAAAAATGATTGCAGGTACTTTAAACACGTTTTTTTATTTATTATTCATTTTCATTTAACACTATTTTTAACGTTATTTTATTAAATGTAGCATTTCCTTACTAAGAATATTCAATCCAGTGTGCACTACTTGATTTCTAATTCATGTAAAGTTTGTGTTTATGCTCTGCGAAGTTTAGTCAACGACAACCATCTGTGAGACTGCTACTGTAAACCCAGCTGACTTACAACCAAGGTCCCTTGTTAAGAGGCAGTGTGAAAGTCTGTATATCCACGAGAAAAACGATGACAATCTGTGAGTCACATAAGAAACAGTTGCAGTTCAGTGGATGAAAGTGTGGAGAAGATTCCAGGCAGCATGCTGTGAGATGTTTACATTTGCTCAGTAATGAATACCTGCTGCTTGGTAATTGGAATGACTCAAGCAGTATCAAGGGTGCATCCCTGGCCTCCGTTTCCCGGGGAAACGAAGCCAGGGAACAGTGCATACCCACAGTAGTTGCTAATCAACATGCATAATACATATAAACAGTTTGATATGTGTATCTGTTTATGTGTGTATATCCATATGTTTCCTTGCATGTATGTCCACAAAGGTGTGAGTGTAATTATACTGCTAAATTCCTTTTGATTATTATTGTTTCAGCTGCCAGTGCAGTGGCATTTGCAGAGTTGAAGCGTTGTTATTGGACAGGAAGCTATTTGAAGTTAATGATATCACTGACGCCTGAGAAAAGGCAGTAAATGAGCCTGTTGTCTTCTTTTAATCACCCTTATTGGCGGAGCAGGAGATTGTCTGCGTCCGATGTGTTCACAACAATGTCCGCAACATTTGACTCTGGCATTTGCTTTCTCACATACATGCAGTCCCTTTGCAAAATCTCACAAAAATATCCATACTTTAGCATGTCTCAAAGCAGCTTAAGTGTATCCTTCCACTCTTCATGAAAAAAGGATATAATAGTTTGTTTTTCAATAATCACTTTAATTTGTCACTGATGTGCATGAGAGTGCGTTGTTTGAGAGTCATTGCTTTGCTAAATGACATGTTGGATCATTTGTCACCACACATTAATCTAAAGTTTGGCTATCCACAGTCAATACATTTTTTAAATAAGGTTCATTATTTTAAAAATGATTATAAATGATCATCATATCAGCATTTGAAATATAATTTTCTGACTTGAAACTATAGTAAAGTGAATTCAGTCAAGCCGCATCAAATTTCAAACACTCATAGATCAGTCTGTAAGTATGCCTGATGACGTGACACCCTATTTCACAATGTGAAAGATCCGCCCCTTTGTCCAGATCTGCTCCAAGCGGTGTGTATTAATGTGTGTGTGTGTGTGTGCATGCTTGCACGCATATGTGTTTCTGCTGCCATTCCCCTTTTGTTTCAAAGTAACAAAACCCACCCACTTGTCTGTGCATTTGTGTGTGCACATACTTATCTGTGCACTGCAGACAGCGACAAAGTGCAAAATGATGTTGTATACCCTGAAAGCTCTACTCAAGAAATCCTCCCTCTACTCAACTCTTCATCACACATGCACTCATGCACGCACGTAAATCCCATACAGGTACTATCTTTTTAAATGGTGTGTGCGACACTCCGGGCAGAACCACTACTGCTCCTCTGTGACACTCAGCCTCATTACGAAGAGGTTTTTTTAGGAATGCTCATAAAAGCCATGTTAAATTTTGAACTATACATTTTTACCAACAGCCTGTAGATTGTGGATCTTTCTTTAGTCTGTGATTTGGCCTTCTGTTAAAAAGGAATCAATTTAATCATGAAAGATCTCAAATTTAGGTCAAGAAATCAAATGGATCACAGGGGACAGGACAGGATTTGTGGCTGCTCAGTTTAATATGATATGGGTTATTCCTCAGTCTTGATCAAGACTATTTCTTTTCTTATCTTAGCACCTGCTCTTGTGATTAAGAAAATAAACAGACCCTAGAAGATTGTAATGATGTTAAACAGGAGCTGTAAGTAAAGGAGTATTTTCAGGAATTGTGTACATTCACGCTCCAAATATTTTGTCACATTACTGGAAATATACAAAGCAAAACCATTATGGTCATCTTTGTATTAAATGCCACAGGTGCATATGGATGATTTGCATGTTGTTTTCAAAGTCATCAGTCATTTAGCGCAGAAATAGAAACACTGTCAACAATAATTAAAAAACAATGGTACCGAGGCTACAGCTGTTGCAGTCGTTGTCTTGCTGAGGTTGTGTCTGTATACGTATGTATGTCACGGTGTGTGTTTCTGTGTGTGTGACTTTGTCAGACACACACCTGCAGACTGACACGACAGGGGGAATCTTTAACAATTTGAAAGACTGCTAATTACAGGTAATTGCACTGTTCAATCAAACTCCAGTGGGCATTCAGGTGTCTGCATGCGTGCGTGCGTGCGTGTGTGTGTGTGTGTGTGTGTGTGTGCGTGCGTGCGTGTGTGCGCACACTAAAGAAGAAATGTCCTGTATTTGTTCCTATAGCTCACCAGATATTTGTGTGCCTTTCTTATGTATTATATTTGCCTCTGTCACATGTTCCCAAAGTTTTAATTTGGACTTAACATTATTGCTGTTGTTTTATAACATTCAGTCAAGATAATAAGGATTTGAAACCTTAATTAATTAAAAGTTCAAAAGGAGTTCAGTGTGCTGTAGTTTGTAGCTAATAAATCCCTTGAGGACTCTTTCAGACTTTTAACTTCAAAACTGCATGAAGGTGGGAGCCTGACTCACTGGTTAGTAAAATTAGCATGAGAGCACTGTGGTTCATCAAAAACCACCTGAAATGTTTTGTTATGTTTTTGAATTTGCATTTTATTACTGATAACACCTTTACCTTTAATGCTGCCGCTAGCATTCACTTTTTAAGTCTCTTGAATATTTAAGGCAGTTTGTAACAAGGGGAGGGTTTATTCCTCTCTCTTGCTATCTTTCTGTCTTTGTACTATTTTCCTCCTTTCATGTTCCCTCTCTCCAGACACACACACACAGGCTGACTGATGTGAATGCAAGCCTAATTTTGAAATGGTCAAAACATCTCAATCTGCCTCTGGTGCAAAAAGGATTTGGTGTCAATGCTATATTTTATCATAAATTATGTACTATTTACTTATTGTGTACTGTGTAGGTGTGTGATGTGTCTCAGGGCATGACCAGGAATAGAGAGACTCTTATGGTTTTAGAATGATAATTGATATCTTATTCACATTTCCTTCCTTCATTGGGATTATAATGACAATTATGAATGTACGGTGTGTGTTTGTGTGCGTGTGTGTGTCAGCAGGCATGTTGCTGCCCAGAAGTGGCCCAGACTTAATTACCCGTCTCTTGCTAGACGTTGATTGCAAGTCCATGTCTTGATTAGAGGATTCACAGTTTTTTTCGCGCTCTCTCTCTCCCACACATACAAACACACACGCACACACAGACACACACACATGTGCATGCGGGAAGAGACAGCTTGAGAAATTCCTGAAGCACTTCTCAACTTCAAAGTGCTTTTCTATGTCATGAATGGGCGAAGATGAGAAAAGCTATTTACTTGAAGGGTGAGGATGCATTGCATTTCAGATCCAAGCATTTTCAAAAGCTCCTGTTTTTATTCAAAACACACATTAAAATCATTTAAGAATGCTAAAAAGAAAAATAACAGTAAATAATAATAATAATACAATAATAAATAACAGTCAATGGCCCAATTATGTTTTTCAAAAGTGAAAAACATAATTACATAAGCTCATACAAAATGCAAAACAGAAAACTCACACACACACACTCCTATCAAGTAAAGTCCATAAGAGTCAGACATGGTACACATAAATCAGTTGGTTCAACAGGTATGTCTTGAACTGTGTTTTGAATAATTTCACAGAATCAGGAACCTGTTGGTCAAAACATTCCCCATCTTGTGCTATATCTGGTGCTATAGCCTCAAAAGCTCAAGAATCACATGTCTTGGGTGGCTGGGATATGGCTGGGATAGAGAAATTAATAAGAAAGAGATTTAAGTTAGAGCCCAATCACAAAGTGATTTTTGGGGACAGATACCAGTCCCAACAAAATTTCTGATACCGATATATTGGTCAACATTTATATATATATATATATATTTCCAAAATTGAAATTCATCTGATGTCGTTATAAAATAAAATGTAATTGGGGTTTGATATTTTACAGTTTAACCACAAACTGAATTACAAATAACCATAAAAAAATAAAACCAAATATAGAACTTGAATGACGAAAATAAACAATTTTTTCATCATAAATTGAAAACATACATGCACATCTTTCATGAAATGTCAATTCCATAAAATAAAAGTGTCCATATCGGTTTATATTGACAAACATCAATATTATTATGTCTGTGAGAGGCTCATATCGTGTCAATTATATTATATTGTAAAGGTTGGGCTTTAATTTAAGTTCCTGGACCTGAGAGAGGGATCAGATGAGTAAGGGTGGAGTAGAACAGCATGATA